GCTGACAGAGGAGCAGCGGGAGCCGAGGGGACGTTGCCAGAAGCAGCGAGCGCGGTTTGTGGCAGTCACAAGAAGCAACGTTAAGCGCCCCCGTCCCGTCGCTTTGCCCGTGGCATAAGCAAATAGCGTTCAGTAAGTCGGCAGTTTGGCGACGCTGAAATGGAATTAAACGTTCCTGTATCAAAGGGCACTAACGGGGGGAAGAGTCCGTGCTCCGCTGTGCCCTGTCGCTGCGCAGCGGGGCCGTGACGGGGCCGTGACGGGGCGAGGACACGGAAAAGCAGCCTGGGAACCGTTAACAAAAAGAAGCGCCTCAGCAGCGCTTGTGGAGCCGGCGCCGCTGCCGCGGGGAGGGCAGAGGGACCGTGCTACCTGCTAATGCGCTGTCCAACAAATTAACCCAGTGTGCAGCTCCCATTAGCCGTAGCCTCACTTGGCTGTTGTTAAGCCATTTGCTGTTGTCACTCCTCTTAATAAAGTCTGTGACTTGAATAAATTTCCCCAGCAACTTTGTATTGGCACCACATCTGCGGTATCAGCTAAAGATTGTCCTTTATCTGTTCCTTACAAAATGTACCCTGATTGAAGTTGCCTATTGTAGTGCTTCTCCTCCTGGAATTTCGTGTGGAGTAAGGCAGATTAGTGTTAACACGTTGTTTGTATTGATGGGCAATCAGTTGTTCTTCCGATAATGCTCAAGAAAACAGAAGACAGAGGCGCTGGCAAATGCAAATGAAATGTGATCATCTTATCTCATAATTACTTGGGTAAACAAGCGCTGAAAAATGAAGACTGCAACAAACATCTTGCGAAGTCAATCTATGTTTTGTTAAAGAAACCCCGAACAACAAAACACCAACAAAACGAGAAGCAAACCCTTGCACGCGTCCTGGAGCAAACTCTGTTGTCAGCAGGCGTATTGCGGCGCTTCGCCCCGCAGCTGCGGGGACGTGGCCCGCGAGAGAAGGACGCGGCCCCGAGCGGCTGCGCACAGCGGGAACACGGGAAGGCCTCTCCTTACGGCGCTTCCCGCAGGTGCGTGGTTGCTGGTGTCAACCCGTGGAGGCTGCATTGATTACAGTCCCCCGTCCATCACCGTCACCTGTCATCAGCTGCGGTGCCAGGCTGACAGCTCTGAAGGAGCAGAAGGAAGTTGACTGGCAGAACGTTTTGCATCTAATGAGCCTGTGCACAATACGAGTATAATAAAGAATGCTCTGGAGGAACTCGGCTATCGCTTCCACACCGGCGCAGAGATAGGGCCTTCGCAGAGGCTCCCCGAGCCATCTGTCAGCTGTCAGGAGCTGCGTGCCTCCGCCTGAGCTGGACCGAGGGAATGGAACGCGCCGCAGACTGGTGATGGGCGCCTGGTATCACACATGCAGATAGAAAGCAGGCTGACATCAAGAATCCGGAATCGCTCAGGAAGAGCTTAAAGCCACAAAGGCGCCGTGGATTTGATGCCGTGTTACCGAGCGGCGCGGGCTGCCCAGAGGCTCCTT